AATTAATAAGACAAGACACTTGGAACAATTTAGATTTTTAAAATGTGTTCTACAGGACATTGAAGAGAAATATTCAGGGGATGCTTCATGAAGGAAGTGACACCTGAAGAGAATCTGAAATACACTGTGGTCCAGGCAGGGAGGAGAGCTTTATAACAGGAGAGGAAAATTGAGAATAATACCATGTTGACAGGCATGATTATGGGAAAATTTGTAAATGGTGGAAAGTGTGATTTGATAACATGAATATTTTAGATTCTTCACCAAGGGGTGATAAGATGGCAGTGGGGTTTTAGTAAGGTACATCGGATCATAATGAATGTGTTTAGAGTCAAGAGAAGCTGGTATAAGGAAACTCCAGTGGCTGTTTACACAATATAGCACGAATGTCCTGCTCTGACTCAATTGATTTCAGTTTCAACATGAATGAAAGAAACCCAATGTCTTATCTCTTTTGTATATGTAGTGTTATTTATTTTCTGGCCTATGTACGATCTATACCACAGGACCACATTTGTACACAGTCCAACTCCTGAGCAAGCTTTTGTGATGGGCAGCATATGACCATAAACAAAACTTATTTTTCTCCTTTTCCCCATCTCTCTTCTTCCCACTTTTCCTCCTCCTTCCATTTCTCCTCACCTTTTCAGAGAAGGAAACTGCATTGATTTACTTCTGAGTTATTCAGTTAATACAATGTAATCATTTTAATGTATATGATGAGTAAGAAGATACAATCTCCTCAATTTCAGCTACAGATTGCTGATAGAATAAAAAATATTTACATATGTCACTGGAAATAGACAACAAAATGCAACTGATATAAGCTGGGGTCATGAAGCTTCCTATAATACTCTGGAATTCACATCATTCTAAAGGCCACCCAGAAACACTGAAGTATTTTAAGCAGCATTTGCAACTATGATTATATATTCATTATAAATTTGTCCTGCCTAACTACTTTTGTATAAAGTTTTCTTCCCATGTCAGAAACAATAAGGTCCTGAAAAATATTATAATAAAGTGGTTCGTCTGCCAAATGAATCCTAGTTAAAATTTCCCACCCCCAAGAGTTCCTTCCTCAGTTTTCTCTGACTCAATGCAATTTCATTCTTTTAGTTTTGCAGCTCAAAAATCTTGGTGCTGTCCTTGTTTCCTCTCACTGTTTCACTCTTAGACCTAACACATTAACTCCACACTACTCTCAAAATATGTTCTGGGTTTGATCACTTCTAACCAAGCAAATGTAAGCTACCATTGGATTTTCTCACCTGTATTATTATGGTAGACCTTGAAATTACTGCTTTCGCTTCTACCCACAATATAGCAGCCAGAAATATCCTGTGAATTTAAGTCAGATTATGGCACTTCTTTCCTCAAAACACCCTAACGACATTTCTTCTCAGAGTAAAAATCAAAGGCCCTTATTGTGATGTGTGAGGCCCTTCTTGGTTTGTGCCCACATTATCTGTCTGCCTTCATCTGTTTTGACTCTTCCCCTCTGCTCTCGGCTTCAGTCACAGGGTTCCCTTGCCTTTTGAACATGCCCTCATTCTCCCAACATTGTACATGCATGCAATTCGCTCAGCCTGAAAAGCCTTCCTCAGGTAAATGCATAACTGGCTCCCTCACTTTCTTCATGTCTTCATTCCAAAGTCCACTTTCCAGTAAAGACTTACTTTGCCACACTAAAATTCTACCCCTTCTCTCCAAAGCTTTTTCATTTTGCCAATTATACTATGTTATTAAATTGGCGCAAAATCAATTGTGTTTGTTGATAATAGTTGCAAATATTATTTTCTCTACTGGAAAGAAAACTCTTTGAGACATATATTTTAGTCTCTCTGTTCACTGTTCTATTCCCCATATGTCAGTGTCTGATACAAAATAGGTATTCAGTAAATGTTTGTCAAATACATGAAAATATGAAATTGTTATGATAATATGTGAAATCATTCTAATTATATTTGAAATATTAGAGTATATATTTATCTTTATTCTTAAATCACAACACGTAGGAAGTCTATAGAAAACTCCATTATTTTATTTCTTATATAATCTATATGATTGGATTTTTTTGAGCTCTGAGAATATCAAATTAGAAGTATTGATGTAAATACTAATTAGTTTCTATTGGCACATTTATTTGTTTTGAATATTTCTCACTTAATGTTTATTGTTAGATATATGCCAATAAAAAATTAAATAAAACAGATAAGTGTTTTTCCTATAATACATCCTATTTAATCATTCACATTTAAAATTTAAAAGGGATTTAATTAGATGCACTTTTTGTCTGTTTTTAGATATGAAAGGCTAATTTGCATTCTCTACAAGGAAAGAATTGGTATTCATAAAAGTTAGACTAATAATTTCATTTAAATTTGAAAGAAAATTTAAATTAATCCAACTTAGGATATTATAAAAAGATTACTATGTGAATTTATTTTTTAAGGTTGCTATATCACACAGTGAACATTTTGTTAGAACATTATAAAAATGCTGAGGTTTTGTTTCTTAAAAAATATACATCCTTATGTAAGTGTGAGCTCTTCTCACTTCCACAATGGAAGTGAGAATCAGGTTATCTGCCTTCTCGTGATCGGCACAGGTTTCCACAAGTGCTGGATTTAATGAGGTGAATATAAAATTAGGTGATTTGTTCTTATTTGCTGAGGTGAACATTTTTATTGTGTAATTTGGTTTAAATGAATACATGAAATGTTTGAACATACACAGCCCCATATACAACAGTTAAAAAGTTGTTCTTTTGGGCATTCCACTTATTGGTCAGATATCTGTATTAACACTGATTCCTCTCCCTCAAGCTGGTGAGAATACAGCATAAATAGTGTTGAATCTCAGGCTAAAAATTATCTGCAAACCACTGAAGCCTTACAATTTGAGGCCACGTACTGACCCCCTGTCTTGGGATATAGCTTTGCCATTGCTTTTATTTTGAACTAGTGAGATGTGAAGCCCCTAAAAAATTCTCATTTTATAGCTCTAACAAGAGCATTTATATTTTGTGTGGAAATCATTTTTCAGCCTCAAAACTTGCGTTCATGTGGATTTCAAAATAAGTTGTCTTAAAATACATTTTGCTACATGATAATGAAAGCTCATACCAACGCATTTTTTGGTAACTTTTTTGTAATCCTTCATATTAAGAAAATTGTAATATGTTTTTTAAATTATATTCTTAACCATTTGTATTTCTTTCCCCTACAAATTCCTCAAAAGTCCCACATATTTTTTTTTTCTGAAATCTTCTCTATTCTCTCTTAGCTTGTTGTATTGTATTTCACACGGAGATGAAGGATGGTATAATGTTTAAATGATTTTTGGCTCTCTGGGGAGTGTGTGTTTGGCTTATTTGCGTTTCTGCAGGGCAGTGGACACAGCACCAGGCTGGCCGTGCTACCAGCTCTTGCTATTATTCACTCAAAATTCGGTGTGCAGGGTGCTGACCACAGACAGCTGCCCAGACAGGTGTCGTGCACTGCACAGAGTCCCTGAGGTAAGGCAGTGTAAGAGCCAGCAAGACCTTTTTAACAGAATTGGACTTAGCCAGGGTGAAAATGGGGAAAGTGCACTTACATAGCACTTGCGTGTCCACAAGTTGCATTTCACCTCCTTTTTTCTCACTGAAACTTATCATCATTCTGGGATTGGCTTATGTATTATTTGTCCCGCTTTCCAAATAAAGAAAATGGGCCTAAAAGAGGTTAAATTATTTGCCAAATAAGGATAGTAGATGAAATTTTGACCCTCTTACTACAGGTTTCTTTATTCTTCCCTCAGCAACTCAGCCTCCTCTGTTGCTCAGCAGGCATTGTGGGGTGAACGGCACAGAGATGAATGGACATTCATGAGTCCCTCCTTCCCACCTTCTTTCTCTTTCAAGGAGCACTGGTACAGTCACCTGAAAAGCTAAAAATGCTGTGTGACTACTGCTACATCAGCAATTCCAGACACACCTTCCCACCCCATCCCACACCCACCTTGAAAAGAAAGCTTTGCTTTAGGTTAACATTAATTAAGTCATGCATTGGGCTATATGTAAGACTATTATCTATCTATCTTCTATCTGTCTATCTATCTAATCTTCTATCTCATCTATTTATCGATCTAGTAATATATCTATCATCTATTCTGTATCATCTACTTATTGATCTATCTATCTAATATTCTGTCTCATCTATTTACCGATTTATCATCTATCGTCTATTCTGTATCATTTATCTATCTATCTATCTATCTATCTATCTATCTATCTATCTATCTATCTAGCATCTGCCCGAGATCTATCATTTTTCAACACCTAATTCACAAAAAAGAAGACATGAGGAAGATTGTAGACTGTAGGAGAGGTACACTTACGTACATGAACATTTAGGGCACAATAAAAGACTACAAAACAGTATTATGTTTAATGAAATCACCATCCAAAAAAAGTGTGTGGGTGAGCAAATGTTACCACATCTGAGGGAAAGTTGATTGTGTGGTAGAAAAGCAGAGCCTTTGGCACCGGAAGGCCTGAGTACAAATCTTGGCTCTGCCAATTAATATTGGGTGATCTGGAGGGACATGCCTAATTTCTTCATCATACAACTTTTTATTTTTTTCTCGCAAAGGGGATGCTAGTAGACCTTCCTAATAGAAGTGTTGCAAAGACTAAGTGATTCATGTTGTCTGTAAAGCTGAAGCTCATGCCTAGCATATAATACACAGTCAAAAAAGAGAGCAGGGGCCAGGCTCAGTGGCTCACGCCTATAATCCCAGCACTTTGGGAGCCCAAGGCAGGTGGATCACGAGGTCAGGAGATCCAGACCAACCTGGCTAATAAGGTGAAACCCTGTCTCTACTAAAATTAAAAAAAAATTAGTTGGGCACAGTGGTGTGCACCTGTAGTCCCAGCTACTCAGGAGGCTAAGGCAGGAGAATGGCTTGAACCCGGGAGGCAGAGGTCACAGTGAGCAAAGATCATGCCACTGCACTCCAGCCTGGGTGACAGAGCAAGGCTCTGTCTCAATGAAAATAAAATAAAAGAGCAGGTTTCCACACCTGTGATTCTTAATAAACTTCATTAAATAGCAATGTCTAATTATTTTGTTATATAGCAATATTTTGTCAGCAACGTTGATTGGATTCCAACAAATCTTCTTTCAACAACAGATAAAGAAATGCAATATTTCACTGTTATGCATTTTTCTAATGTATAATGTCAGTCTTTTTTTCTCAAGTAGTAATTAAAACTTGCTTTGAAAAATACCAGTGTAACCTAAAACTATTATATTCCTTAAAGTACTTAGATTAAGGAGGAGGCAAGAAAACAGCATAGGAACTACAAGGGATTGCATTCCAGACAGACATGGTCCTGGCTTCTGCATCTGTCTCTTGGTAGCTTTGTGACTGGTTGAAATGCTTAATCTCACCTTGTTTTAAATGAGATAAAATGAGGAAAACAGCATTTACCTCACAGTCTGATAGGAGAGGTAATAACATAATGCATTTAAATTATGTAGAACAGTGTGAGTATTATGATAGATGCCTAATAAATGTTAATTCCCCTTCTTCTCTTTGTTTTACTTTCTTTTACTTCTCCATCCCTAATTTTCTGATCATAACACTTCCAGGACAAAAGCAGCAAGGCGGAAATACTAAGACAGTTAAGAAGATCCAGTGAGAAAAACTCATATAGAGAAGACAAGATTGTTGAAAATTCTAATCATTTCACTGAAACTGATGTTTGCTCGAAACAAATATTACTCATAAAAATGGCTGCTGTGGTTTATTTAGGAAGCAAAGTGTAATATTTACAAGGGCAGAGAGGGTAGCATGAGAATGAAGAGAGCTAGTGAAATCTGACCTTTGGTGAGCTGGCACTGTTTAGTAAATCTTCCTTCCCTCAGTGAAAGGGATTAGCTTCCAGTACAGTTAATTCCACCTGGAAGAGAAATATCAGAGCTTTAGCCCTGAGGGATATTGCTCTACAAGCCCAGGTTCTTTTCAGATTATTCTGGTTGATTAAACAAACAGGGAAATAACCCTTTTAAGTTTGTACATATATTAGGAATCGGAGTAGGCATATAAGCATCACTGTACAACCAACAAAAAGTATGTCAAAGCAACATACAATTTAAATTAATGTAGTTGTAAATAATAATGGTTATTTTTCAAATGATCTATTTGATTGGTATACGTGCTTTTTCACTCTTGTCCCACCAGTGCCATTAGCTCTAAGGAAAGGACTGTAGACTACACTCACTGCTGATGTTTAGATTATGAAGGGAAAGAAACAATAGAGAAGATAAGAATGGAATTTTAAACAGCAGAGGACTAAGAAGACAGGGCAGTATGTATTATGTTGTTACGTTCCCAGGATGTAGGTCTGGAAAACTAATGATAATTTTTTGGTGTTGGTGATTAGAACTAAGGGAAGAAAAGGTAGCAGGTGAATCTCACTGTATTCTCTAAGGTCATTCCAGAAAGCTTGTGTCTTTATCATTAATCCTATTGTCTATTAGCATATACAGTTAGGAGCTAATATCAAATTTGTTCAGTGAAATTTATAGAATGAAAGACTTTTAGGGCTGCTAAGAGGGCTAATAAGTCATATAGTTTAGAATTCTCAGAAAGTTAAAAACCTTATGAGAAATTTCCATTGGCTCAAATCAGATGAGAATAAAACTAGATCGTACATGTCTTAATATTCATCCTAGGGGACTCGCCAGGACTGAACTCTTCTTTATTGACTGATTAACCATTTTCCAACTCACTAATTAGGCAAACCAGAATGTTTGTATGTTCCCTGTGTGTGACTATCTGCATTGTAAATTCACCTAACCTAATTGTGTTGTTTACAATTGATACGTTTATTTTTGTTATCCTTTGGTATCCTTAGAGGTGAGAGTTACAGTTCTATTTCCCGATCACACTACCCTCTCATGTTAAAATGAGAGAAAAATCACAATCAAATTCTGCAACACTTTCAAACACTTATTAGCAATCAAACAGATAAAGTAATACAGGCTACCCTGTAAGTTTAATTAAGTCTCAAACTTTTGTATTTTTGAGTGCTGCAACAAATTGCAGGCATGATACTTCACTTAGATAGAGGTGGCAGCTTTCTATTGGCAGGACCTGGTTACCATGTAGCTGGAATCGGGCCAAATCATCTTCTGGAGAGGTTGCTCTTAGGACCTTAGACAATTTACAGCCTGAGGCACCAGGGTAAAGTGTGGAAGTGACAAGCTAGGTGGTGGGACACTATGTACACATGACAGAGGCCCCACATAGCATCTTAGCAAGTCCACATGTTTTGTGTCACTAATGAAACATTTCAGTAATGAGAAATCATTGCCCCTCTGCATGACGATAATGAAGTTTTTGAAGGTTATTAGATGTCAGCATAGTTGATGTGTTATAAGAACCACAGCTGGCGCTGGGCGCGGTGGCTCACGCCTGTAATCCCAGCACTTTGGGAGGCTGAGGCGGGTGGATCATGAGGTCGAGACCATCCTGGTCAAAATGGTGA